TCTTAGAAATAATATTTCAGGTTATAACAACAGCAATAACAGACTATGGCAAAAGGTCTCACACCAGCTTGCCACACCTTACCAATCAGTTAAGGCCCCTTGAATTTCAACTTTGCAGGGTTTTTTTCATAGGCTACATTTATTTTATTTTGTTTTATTTACAATTTTTTTAAATGTTTGTTTATTTTTGAGAGAGAGAGACACACACACACAGAGTATGAGCAGGGGAGGGGCAAAGAGAGAGGGAGACACAGAATCCTAAGCAGGTTCAGGCTCCAAACTGTCAGCACAGAGCCCAACTCGGGACTTGAACTCATGAACTGTGAGATCATGACCTGAGCCGAAGTCAGATGCTCAACTTACTGAGCCACCCAGGCGCCCCTATTTACATTTTTTTTACTTACATTTTTTTAAAGTAGGCTCCACACCCAACAACGTAAGGCTTGAATGCATAACCCTGAGATCAAGAGTCACCTCTATGGATTGAGCCAGCCAGGCGTCCCTCATAGGCTATATTTAAATTGGAAATTTTAGCTGCTTATCCAGTATGTTCTATCTGCCTCCTTAGTTCTCCAGTCTTAGAAGCATATTCAAATGGTAAGGCAGAGTCCCTTAATAAAAGGGTGACCGACCATCCCAGTTTCCCTGGGACTATCCCAGTTTGAGCGTTGAAAGTCTTGTTTCCTCACATTGGAGGGTTTGTCACCCTACCTAGTAAGGACATTTTAACCACTTGATTAGTTTCTGGGCTAATATTTACCTCTGCTTAACAATTCTTTCTTTGCAGACAATTCTTTAGTGTCTGATTGATCTTAGGTGGAGTTTTGGCTTTGCTCTTTGTTGTGAGGCATCAGGCAAGTTACTTAATTTTCCCAACCCTCAATTTCCTTTATTAAAAATCAAGAAGGGCGATAACAGTACCCATTTCATTGGGTTGGTGTAAGTATCAAATGAGATTAGTATATATTGTTGTAAACGTTCCATCAATGTTAGCTATTAATCTATTATAATTGTTAGTTACCTAACACAAGATTGAAGGGATGGTATTTAAAACACATCTTCCCTCACTCAATATTTTTTTTTCAAGTTTGTTTATTTATCTTGAGAGAGACAGAGACAGCACGAGTCAGGGAGGGGCAGAGAGAGAGGGAGACAGAGAATCCCAAGCAGGCTCTGCTCTGCCAGCACAGAGCCTGACCCGGCGCTCAAACTCACGTACCATGAGATCATGACCTGAGTTGAAATTCAGTCAGATACTGGGCGCCTGGGTGGCGCAGTCGGTTAAGCGTCCGACTTCAGCCAGGTCACGATCTCGCGGTCCGTGAGTTCGAGCCCCGCGTCGGGCTCTGGGCTGATGGCTCAGAGCCTGGAGCCTGTTTCCGATTCTGTGTCTCCCTCTCTCTCTGCCCCTCCCCCGTTCATGCTCTGTCTCTCTCTGTCCCAAAAATAAATAAACGTTGAAAAAAAAAATTAAAAAAAAAAAAAAAGAAATTCAGTCAGATACTTAACCAACTGAGCCATCCAGGCACCCCCCCCCCAATATTTTAGAGGCAACTTCACATACCAACAAGCTGCATGCCTGTTACCACTCATTTGTAGGTATATACACAGCACGGCCCACTGGAACTACCAGGCTATGAGAGTTAATGCATGTGGCTCAAACAACAACAGAAATCCCACTTAAATATTAGTATTTTTCCAAAGACTAGGTTAAAATTGTAAAATCTTTACATAAGACCACACCAATAATTAAGCAGTCATCTGACAAAAAAACAACAGCAACATAACACAACGGTTATGGGCACTGGCTGTATAACAGGAAGCCAAGGGAAAACCAAGTGAGTGTAAAACGCATCCCTGCCCTCATATTGCTTACACCCTTGTGTTCCAAGGACACCAAGAGCTAAGCCCAGGAGCCAGGGACAGATCAAAGCAGACAAACCAGATAGAAATGAAGAATGTACCCTGCCCTTCCTCCCTAGAATATAGGGGCCCTTGCAGCAGGAGAGTAGGCTGCAGAAGAGGCAGGAGAGTCTCTCTCCCAGGAGAAGAGGCAGGCTTGAAAGTAGACAAATTAAAAGAAAAAGGACACCCAAGCAGGAATTTGAGATATCAAATCATTAAATGGAATAGAAGTAAAAATGATGGCACTTGAAACATTAAATCATTAAATGGAACAGAAGTAAAAAGTATGGCTGAGTTTTGAAGACAGAAACCCTGGAATAAATGAAGTAAGAAAAGACAAAATTTTCACTTTGGAGAAGGCTGGCCAGCTCAGATACGGGAGAAGTCCCATGACCGACAATAATGGTCTCCTACTCTGCTAAGGAGCATGTCATTCTGGGCAAAAGCTAAACCAAACTCAGAATCTCCAATTTCTGAGGTCCCAGGAAAGGTCAAGGAAAATGAGATAATGCTTTGTCCTGCTGGAACTATAGGGCTATTACCACAGGACCAGGTCACTCCCCAGCCTCACCTAAGCCAGAGGGCTTGCTGGTTTGCTACTCAGCTGTTTGGGACACTGAGTTGCTCTGATTCCAGGAGGCAGGGTACTCAGGTACACCTTCTTAACAATTCGCCCTGCTCCCTCCACCCATACCCCCAACCCATAGTATTTCCAGGCTTTGCCAAGAACCAAGAGTCAACAGACAGGTGTCAATGGAGTAGGTGACAAAGGAGGTTTTTCCATTCAAGAAACCCAGATAACCAGAAAGCATCCCAAGGTATGGCACAATCCAACATTTTGATCTCAGGCTCTCAGCCTCATACCTCATGCACATAGGTCCGACCTCTTAGGCCCTGAACCTAGGAACCAGAGCTGAGGAAGCTTTCCCTCTTATACTTCAGCAATGCCATTTTGGGGCAGTTTCTCTCCCGGTTGAAATAGTACAAATGCTATAGGCCCTCTTTCCAGGTGTTTCTGCCACCCCTCCCCCACCACCAATTTCCTACAGAGCGGAGGGCTTTAGCTCCGCAGGGATGCAGAGTCTGTCCGTGGTGTGAATACACTTGTAGTAATCTTTGGCCAGAAATGGAAGATTCCCTCGAAACCTGTTCCACATGTGGCCTGGTTTCTTCGAGACAATGAGATAAATTGATGCGTAATGTGCAACAATAAATGAGAAAGTGCATTGAAGGCATGGAAAATGCCTGAGAAATACAACTTGTTATGATAATGCTTAGCGAAGTCAGCAGCCCTGCTTGTCCCCTCCTGGAATTTCTGGGCTGAGGAGGCAAACCTCACTTAGTAGCCCTCACTTAGATGCCCTCACTTAGTAGCATCAAGTGAGGGCAGTTCCTACCAATCTTAATTGCTTATAAAATTTCCTATGTGTGCTTCACTGAAAAGCCGCCCAATGATTCAAATATTCTGTGGATGCTCAAAATCGCTTATACCTTGTCTCAACACACCACCTGCCCATGACCTGGAATCTCAGAACTACAAGGAACCTTAAGAGGCCAGAGTGATCAGGGAACTTGCCCAGGTTCACACACCGAAGTAGAGCCACAATTTGTACCATAACCCAGGTCTATCTCAGCGGGGTTCTCTTTCTCTTAATATAACCTTTGTTGTTGAGAGAATAAGATCCACCCCTATACACACGCACTAACACACACACACACACACACACTAGTGTCCCATCCCAATGGTTCTAAGAACACCAGACCTAAGGCTGGGTTTCCTGCTTCCCCTGACTCAAAATTGCCTCAGTTGTCTCCCCGCTAAAGACTGACTCTTACCAGAGTGTCTCAGACTGGATGGAGGGCAGAAGCCACCTTATATCTTCCTATTATGTTTCTCCCCTCTCCCTCTTTCCTTGCCCTTCAGCAGGATTTCTAGAAAGTATGACCCACACTCCTACACAGGCCTGGGAAGATATGGGTTCATCCACCCACCGGTCCTAGGATGCTCTCTGGGGCTGCTTTTGCCCATCATTGGAAATTGAAGTCTGTAACCCATGGAGGAGGTGGGGGTACCCCCATCCAGAGTCTCAAAAAATTCTCACACATCTCTAATTTTTCTTGTTCTCCACCCTCTCCCCACACCAGCAGAGGGCTTAATTTGTCTGGACATTTTGCTTACCCTCGCGGTCAGCCAGGGCCACTTGGTAATTTAAAAGCCCTTGCATGGGGCGCCTGGGTGGCGCAGTCGGTTAAGCGTCCAACTTCAGCCAGGTCACGATCTCGCGATCCGTG